TATCATTGACCGTGCAACGTCACTCATTTCGCGCAAGTTTTCGCCTGATCCTTCGTCCGGAGTCTCAGATTCGTCGCATTTCGAAAAATGCTGCACTGTTTCCTCAGAGTTCTCTTGCACAGCGCGACTGGTTTCAACCTGTTCGCCAAGTGCTGAGCTGGCAGTTGAAGAATTTTGCGTTACCGCAACACTTGAAGTTTTTTTGGAATCGTTCGCACAAGCAAACTCACCAAATTCGTTCACTTCGGAGACATTTGCTTCTTTGTTCAGCTTCTTTTTCTGCTTCTAAGAGAAAATTCCCATTGCAAAACTCTCAAAACAGTTTGTAGCGAAATGCTACCGGCACAAAAGAAAAAAAGTCCTAATGCGGCAAAAAAGAAAAACAAAAGTACGAAGACAAAAAATCCTCTGTATTCACTTTCCAGAAAAGGCGAAGGAGCTCAGAAATAATTCGAACGGTAAAGCACGCACCCCTGCTACAATATTTCAAACACGAGAAAAAAAAATTTAACTAAGTTTTTTCGTTTCTTTCAGAAATTTCTAAGTAGCTCTGGTAAGAAATATGCCGCATCGTATGAAGAAATATGCCGCACTGTATGAAAACTTACTAGAATATGAACAAAAATAAAAAATCTTTATAACAAAGGCTCACTTTTGAACATTTCTTATTTTGTTGCTTTAATTTCTCCGCTTCCAGTTTGAAATATTCGATAACTGCCGGGTCCGGCTCATCACAGTCCTTTGCCAGACTAGCAAACGGCGTGTCAGTTCCGAACAATTCCAATATCATTTCTGAAGAAAAAGTTTGATAAAAAACAAAAAAATTATAATGAAAAGCTAGCTTTTAATTTCTGAACTAAAAAACTGATTTACATAATTTGGTCCGTTTAATCAGTTGCCTTGTTGTGAACAAAAAGGGGACCGCAAGATTTTGAGGAAATTTCTGTGCAAAAAAATAAATAGCAACGCGCATCAGACTAGCTGGTGCGATCATGCGTTTTGTGCAATTCAGCCCATTGAACGATTGTCTATTGATGATTTTCACTGCTTTGTACTTTTGTCTATGCAAAAACAGTCCACAAATTGGAAAATAGTCAAAAATTTCACGCAGCAGCGCATGAGCGCTGGATTCGAAACCTTGAAGGGTGAATATCCTTCCGTGATTCCCGAGTTAATAGTTTACCCGCCAAAATTCTCACGAGGCCGTAGGTGGTCCTCAACAGCGAGGGAACGCTGAATTTGAATAGGCAAGGTTGGGCCTGGACAAGGAGTTATTACCCTAAAATATCAGCTTCCTAGACGCCGTGGTTCCTGAGACAATAATTTACCCGTAAAAACTTTCACTAGCCAGTAGGTGACACCCGAGAGGGCGGGAAGGCTGAATTTGAATGGGCAAAGTTGAGCGTGGGCAGGGGGTTATAACTCAAAAATTTCAGCCTCCTAGACTCCGTGGCTCCTGAGATATTGATTTACGCGTAAAAATTTCACGGGGCCGTACGAGTTACCTGTGGGTACGGGGAAGGCTGAATTTGAATGAGCAAGGTTGAGCGTAGGCAGGGGGTCAT